ACCTTTAGCCTGCCCGAGCTGATCTCGGGAGAAGTTGGGAAGGGGTTAAGAAACATGTTATAGACCTTTAAAAATCTCTTTTAAAACTGAAATTCGGATTCATAATAAAAAACTGAAGAATTATTATGTTATTTTTAAAAAATAAGTACAGTGGGTGATCGGTTAACGAACATAATCCGTTCCAAGACTATGTTCGCTATCCAAATTGTTCGTTAACCGATCGTCGATTCACCATAGACTTCTATGTGAAATCGATTAATTCGGTCTGGAGACCCTAAAAATTAAATTTTAAAAAATGTATAATTTCTTATAAAAATAATAATACATACATATAGTCTTGCATATTAATCGGTCCTTTTCACTTTTTGCTTATGGGGTGGTGAAGAACATGTCCAATGTCGATTGCTTTTCTCTCTTTTTCAGGATTTTCTGGAAGTAATTAATAGCATTATTGTTGTAAAGATCCCCAAACCTACTGACATCAGCTTGGTATGGGTGCCATTCTAAGACCATCGCTCTGACATCCCCCCACTTTTTCAAAAGATCTTTAATGGCAGATGTCGGCATGGGTCCTCTTTCGTCTTCCTCTTGTTCAGAAGGAGACACATTTCGCTGTGTTTCTTGGTGTTCTTCATTCAAAATTTCTTGGAGTTCTTCTGTCGTCAGTTCATCTTCATGTCCCCTCATGAGCTCTTCTATGTCATCCTCGTTCACCTCCAATTGCAGATCTCTAGCAGTTGTCAAAATTTCATCCATAATTTCAGCGGTGTATCCCTGATCACCTCCGAGTATGTGTTCGTTGTCCAAACACAAAAAATCTTTCTTGGAAGTGTTCGTTATCTGATTATGTGTTCGTAATCCGAACACGAAAATCTTTCGTGAAAGTGTTCGTTAACCGATTTGTTCGTTAACCGATCACCTACTGTATATTATAAATATGTGTGAAAAAAAATAATAATGGAACACATTTACTTTTATTAGACCGTAATTTCACTATAGCAATACAAATGCATCAGTTATTTTATATTTTAAATTGGTTTTTAAAAAAGTTCTTGAAACAATGTTTTATTTTTCCTGTTGCATATAACCAAGTAAAATATCTGAATTCCATTTTTGTTAAATAATCAAAAACATTTCTGAGCACTTTTTTTTAAGAAACAGTTTAAAAAATAATACTTGAAAATCATTTTTTGGCACAATTTTGAATCTTGAGAAATATCAAACAATAATATTTGTTACGTAATTTCGTCTTCTTCGTAAGATTTTAAGTATTAGATTAATATTAAATTTTGCAACATAATAATTGAGTAAAGAATTAATTGAATTTAATCCTTTCTCTCATATAGTTTAAAATGTGATAGTTTATTTCAGAACCCATCCATATAATATGTTTAAGAGGAGACGGTATCCTGTACACAATTTATTTTTATTTATATATTTATATGAAAATGTTGACATGTACCCTATTTGAGCACACATGAAATACACATTTCAGAAGTAAAATAACATTTTTAATTAAACAATTATTTTAAATTTTAAAATTCCAGAAAATTTTTTTTCTAATATTCTTAGAAATGTTTCTCACAATTCTTTGCATGGGATTGGTATTACGAATATTAATTTTATTTAAAAAAATTTTACGTGTTTGACACTATAAAATACAATAAAAAAGCAATATCTAACTTTGATGTCTTTTAAAAAATAACTATTCATATAAATCTTTATTCTATGCATAGAATCGTTAAATATATTATAAAAAAACAAACCGAATGAGTTTTCAAACTTAATGTTGAATATAAACAAAATATTAACATTTTAAATATACGATGATGATAGAGAAAAATAAAAATTGGAGAATAAGCCATTAAAAGACTGTAGAAAATGTAGGCGTCACGTGCTGTAGTTTCGGTTTTCACTTCGTCATGCTGTTGAAACAAGTAATATATATATATATATATATATATATATATATATATATATATATATATATATATATATATATATATATATATATATATATATAGTCAATTTCTTCTTCGTTAGAAAAACGTACCGGCGCCACCTGTTGCAGCTAGTTGTAACTTCGTCAGAGATAACGTAGAATAAATTTAAATTTAAAAAATAAAATTTAACTAATGAATTAATATTTGAAAAAACTGAATAAACATCAAGAGTGTCATCCATTACAAATTTTAAAAAATATATTTAAACTTGAGTGGATGAATAAAAAGTATTTTAATAGCGATTGATCTGAACAAGATATATATAGGGAGAAAGTGAACTAATAGTAGGATTTGAAAAAGATTACTAGCGAATTAATGCAGCTAGAGCTACTAAATTTTATACGCATATTTAGAAAAGTCCCACAATTAAAAGGATGAAAATAAAAAAAATAATAATTCGATATTTTGGTCATTTTTAGGTTAATATGTCTCCTTAAATGCACAATCAACCAAAATGTTGTAATACTATCAATCTTCCGAATTAAGAGAATAAAAAGACGTATTGGAATAATAAGTACTTAAAAAAAAAGCAATCTACTGTGTCCAAAGATGGCAGTCCCTTTCAAGTTTGGCTTTCCAGAGAGACGCGTCCGTAGAAAATCTGCATCTTTCAGATATGCCCAGTAAATGCTCATAAATTTCAAACTAACTGCCTGTTAGAAATTATCGAAATGTTTTGTATGCAATAAAACTGATCTTAGTCTTAGTTTCTAATGACCGCGACGATAGATGGCGCTTTTCAAAATTCATGCCGGGATTAAAACTCCGTAGAGCAATTGTCGTTCGTAGAGCAACTCGGGTGGGTGAATAGGACTATATAAATTATTACAGGACAGCAACAACTGTGGTTGCATTATGCTTTGTATCTTTCCTGAATCCCATATCAATAATATATATTCCAAAATTTAATCCCTGTAGCAGAGAGTTTTGACCGATTAGTATTAAAAGGATTTAGTTTTAAATCGCTGTATGATGAAATACTCATTAACATTTTTGACACTTTTGTTTTAAGGGCAATTCAAAGTCTTTTATTACTTCCGTTTTACATTCTCAGTGTTTATAGATGCAAAACAGCCATTTCTGAGATTATTATACGAAGAAAGAATGTATGTGAGACTGTACTTAATTTATATACTCTGAAATTGCACATTTAATGCTCTTTTTTATATTGTGATTTTAAGTGTTTGGTACTCTAATATTTTTGGTTTGAATTAATATTGAAATCAAACAGTTTGATTGGTTACAAGAGTATTTGTGACCGATTACACATTTAATTAAGATTAACAAGTTATATAAAAAAAATATATTTTAAGCCAATACCTACTTAGGTCAAAAAAAGAAAATTTATTTTACTTACTTTTTATTAAATAGTTATAATTAATACAAATAGGCATACCCATATGACAAAATCACAGTATTAAGTCGCAAAATATATAGCGAATTTCCTTACAGTTTTCCATTTTTCTTTCTATATAGGGTGTCGGACTATTATTTTTGTTTGGTACTATTTATTCGCTTTCTATTTTTTTCGTTTCTAATTTATGAAGCTGATTGGGGTCTATAATTTCTTATTCTATCCATCTCTTGTAATGCTTCATTATTGCAAGGAACCTTTCCAGTGAGTTTCGAGCAGTCTAGTTTTTCAATTAATAGTCCATCTAATGGTTTGACATGACTCAAGGCGACATATGCTTGACCTGCTGCGAAGAGTTTTCATCCTAGATATATTACTGTATAATCTACAGAGCTACTTTGTATCTTATGTACTATAGATGTCCATGATAGTATTAATGGCAGCATTCTTCGTTCCGCATTACCGTGGCTGCATTTGGCGGGGAATTGCACTGATATTGGCACGATTCTGATTAAATTTAATTAATGGGTTAATATTAGAAAAAAACTGCATTAGCATCAAGTGTCATCCACTACAAGTTAAAAAATGTATTTGTGAATTTGAGTGGATGAATAAAAAGTATTTTATTAACGATTGAAAATTTGGACAAGATATATAAATATATATAGGGAAAGTGTGAACTAATAGTAGGAATTGAAAATGAAATATATCCAAGAGGGAAAAAATTTCAACATCGTAATTTGATTTTTAAAAATATATTATAACAATGAAAAGTTTCTTAGTGTGTAATTACTCATAAAAGTTACCATAAAATAAGTAATTACTCTCTTACTACAATTACTCAAAATAATTCATGTGTGAAAGTAAAATACTCATAAAAAATTGATTATTTAACTATCGGTAAGCATGTTCCTTTTGTTGAGTAGTGATCCGTTAAAAATGATTTTTGAGGAAATCGACTAAGATGGGGGCTATAGGAGCATAAATGATAAATCTACTTAGTATACTTCTGTTTCAGTATTTAAGTCCTATTCTTTTCAAATTAAGTGGCGAGAGCTCTAAGAATATTTTTCAAAAGTCCAACGAAACCGGCAGGTAATGGTTAGTTTTCTTATACAGGGTGTTGCCGATTTCGATCGACAAACTCAGAAGGTTGATAGCAAGCTGCATGGAGACGACAAATAAACAGAGAACATGAAGTCGTAAGCCTGGTGAAAATCGCGATTTTTGTAACTGTTGGGAGGACGATGACCCAGACAAGGAGAAGGGCCAACGAATGTAAAAATTTGGAGCGCCGTGATAGGGTTGAAGAAACCTGCACATGTGCAAATTTCCCACTCATCTGGGGGGGGGGCGGAATAAAAGCGGGAGTACCTGTCACTGCACACCAATAAGTAATGTTGTTGTTGTCGTGTCCTTGCCAAAGAGAAGGAAGGAAAGTTGTCATAGTCTGGGACAGGTTGGACTTCTACACGATAGATGGCAACACCACCCATCTCCACTTTTACAATTTAGATATGGGCTAGAGGGGAGAGAAATATTCTCCAACATCCTGCACCCGTGATTTTTGCTGCGACCGCCCGCAGGACTTTCGGACCCACTGATTTAACGAGCACTTACTTCGTGTGTACTCGGAGGGTATTTGGTGGGATTGGGCATCGAACCCAGGCATTCCGATCCGGAGTCCGATGCTCTAACCCCTAAGCTACCCATGGTCCCCACCAAAAAGTAATATGTAATACACTTATACTGTACACTAGAGCATGTGGTTCATGCACGATGGAGCACCAGCGCATTTTTCGACTGCGGTGCGTAACTACTTCCCTCCTACATATCCCGGGAGGTGGGTTGGATGCGGCGGAACTGTTGCTCGACCTCCACCCTCTCCGGACCTTAATCTCTTGGATTTCTTCTACTGGGGCAACCTGAAATAGTTTGTGTATGAGACGCTGCTGGTTACAGTGAAGGATGTCAGGGCACGAATCTTCGTCGCTTCATATGACATCGCCAGCACAACGGATTTGTTTGAACGAATCCGACAATCTTGCGTCCGCCGGTGTCGGCTGTGCAAAGACCTGCGCGTTTGAAACTTTGAACGATTCGTATGACAAGCACTTGGCGTTGCACTTCTGACGTTGAGTTGTGATGCATTGTTCGTATTGTAAACATACTTTACACCTAATAAGTATATTTATTACCTCTTATAGCCCTTTTTATTCCATTTGGCATCATACCATTCATAACCGTTTTTACGAATTATTCCGACTAAACGGGATTTGCGACCCCATGTTCTATGGTGATTTGCCGTCCCCATGCTGCCTACTGTTACACCTTTGAATTTGTCGGTCGAATTCAGCAACACCCTGTATATTCCACATTTATTCGAATCTAAGCCACCATCGATTTTAAGTCGCACCATAAATTCTCAACACATTTTTGTGAAAAAATATAAAAAAAAATAGTGTAGAATGGTTTATTAATCTCCGATTTCAACGAAATAATAATAATAAAAAACAATGAGAACTCATAAGAACTGAGTAATTAATTTATTTTACCAGTATTAAGAACTTTTAAATACATGAGCCCGTAATTGCTCTAATCATCAGTATCATGTTCAATTTCCCCCATCTAACGATTCTAAACCGCACCCACTTTTCAGTAGCATTAACTTTGGAAAAAAAGTGCGGTTTAGATATGAATAAAAATACGGTATTTTTATGTACAATATAATCTGATTTACTTTTCTTTCACTTCATATATGCAACACATACCGTAAAATACGGCGTATAACGCGCACTTTTAACACCAAAAAATAAGATCGAAATTTAAGGGTGCGCGTTATACGCCGGGTATAAAAATGAAAGCCTTAAAAATAAAGAAGGATGAGCATAGAAAAAAATTAGACTTCTACATACATCAAAATACTATTTATTTAAAAGAAATGAACTTAAAACATTCCTTATGAACTTAAAAAAGGGGTTGTATTCTAGAAATATAGTATATTTTTCTAAAGCTTGGGGGGGAATAAAATAAAGGGCTTCAAAACATAAGAGCATAGCATGTTTCTTCGTAGAAAGTGGGGTGCGCCTAAGGGGAAGGCGAATATACCTAAAAATTGAAAAATGCAGCGTGGAAGTATAGGTGCGCGTTATACGCCGTATTTTACGGTAACTTGCTTACTTACCAAATATTGTAACAATTGAGATAACTTAAAAAATAAGTTTTTGTTGTTTCGAATTCCAACAAATTTGAAGAAAATCTGCATATAACACATTTATTATTAACTAAATCATTTATTTTCATTCAATATTAATACAATTTATAGCTCATTTTAAATTTACACATTGAAAAACTTACACCTCACATAACGAAGCATTTTGTGACTCCCAAAAAAGATCGCTTCTAACTTTAAAAAAGCACCTTTGTAAAAATAAAACATTCTGTAGAGTGCAAAACAGAACCTCCTCGCCAACTCCTATAAGCCCCAATAACATATATAGAGTTTATTGTTCCTCCCTTATCGAATTAATTTGATTTGCAAACCGCCAATTAAAACCCCTGAATCAACTCTGAATTCCTGCCTGTAATTATACAAACGTGCCTGTAATTACACAAAAAAATAAATGTAAATATTTAACTTGCTACTTGTGTTAGATTCCCACCCATTACGAAATTTAATTGAAATACGTAGTTGAAAATCGAATATTTGCGGGTAGAGAAAGTTGCTCCGACGTAAAATCGGTTTATTGATAGATGTTTACCGTACATTTTTCCCGGTGAGTTGCTATTTTACGACAGGATCTAAAGTAGCTGATTTGTCGGTAATTCTTAATAGCTGTGACACACGTATTGGCTTTATGTTATGATTGGCCAGTGATTGATATTGAATGAATTGGGTTCTGTTTGTTCACGTGAAAGCAGGGATTTAGAACGGCTTTCCCAGATTACGTTTGGATTTACTTCTTTTTGACACGAAGGATGGGCTGTTGTTCTCTAGGTTTTTAGGTATCACAACAGAAAGTGGGGAATGGATAAAAATGATTTGTTGTGACTCTCTGTCAATATTGTGAAAGGAGAATGACAGAGGTAAAGGTATTGTAGAAATTGAAAAGGTATATCAAAAAGATCGTTTTTTCCCCCTCCAAAAGTTCTGCAAAAGGGGGAGGGAGGAAAAAGCACTTATATATTTAAAAATAATAGAAAAAGAAGCATCACACAGGCTTCATCATATATGTATTCCTAAATTATTAATCCAGTTCTGCGTAGTAATTTAAAAATTACATCAACAAAAGAGAAAGTTATATAGAAAAAAAAGATGCTCAAATTGTTATGTTTATTGTTTAAACATGTGACGGGCTCACGCGTCTTTTCATTAACATGTCCTTTGGGTTCCATGGGGCCAGAATTAATGGCAACTCTTTTCCAACCAAATCCAAAAAGTGAAGCGTGAAAGAAAGATGCAAATTAGGAAGCTTTTTAATATCAGAAGTTAGAGTAAGTGGGATGGCACTTCTGAGGAATGTAAACATAATCCGCGTGGTTCAAGCGTGAAGAAGTTTTGGAAAAAGTTACGCGGCGACGAACAGAAATGATACGTGATACAGATCCATTGAGTCAAGGTGCATAGCATTGCACTCGAGTAATTACAAGGCTTCATCTAAGATTGTTGTGATCGTTACTTCAAACTACAGTAAGGTGGGATTGACTATTTAATATTAGAATTTGAGATAGTATTGGAATTGAGTTTAGGCGAGTCAGTTATTGATAGTGGTCCGGGTTAAGTTAATTCGGTATTATATATATATATATATATATATATATATATATTGTGTGTTTTGATACCGTAGATTCTGTCACACATATTATTATAATCTATTTTGTTAAACGATTAAGTTAAATATCTTAATAAAGTCAGATAAAGATAATGTATGCTTCTAGTTCTTCCGTTAATCCTACACCTCTAGCTCACGCTGATACTCAAAGGTACGTTCACCCTAGAGGAGGGGGGAATATAAAGAATAGAAATGTAAACCTAGAGGTCCTAAAATATGCCTTCTTGCTTCTCTTTATGACAGAAAATCCACCGAAATTTAGTTTGGATTTTATAACTTATATTAAGAGGACTCCTTTCGGAAAATAAAAACTGGTACTTACCTTTTTCTTTTCTGTCGACCAATTTCGTCAAAAGAAAAGACATTGCCAACTCAAAGAAATGTTGCTAATTTCTGTTATTGTTCATTGTGTTTGAACTGTGTTTGAACGTCCGTGGGAATGGACGTATATTGCGGCATTTGGTAACATCTTTTGATTTGTCGGAATTGGCTGACGGTATAATACATAAGTACCTAATAATCTTGGAAAAAAATGGAAAATGCGCCACTTAATAGAGCTGTTTTTTTATCTATTTAAATATTTAAAGTCAGGCTATAAGACTAAAATGTTCTTTATACAAAAAAAATCTTACTATTTATTGTTATTGAACGACCATTTAATTTTGCTTGTAAAGGCAGCAGAAATAAGATTAATTATTCAACCAATTTGGCGAATAGTTTAAAGAGAGAATTCATGCCAAAGCTTATTTGTATAAAATATTATGAATTACATTTCATTATTACTTAAATCCCTTTATTTTAAACAAAAGAAAATATTTACATTTTAACCAACGAAATATTTGCCAACACCTGCCAACTGCAGCTGCAACTTTTTCGTTTTAAAACAGAAATATTACGCCCATTAAAACATACTTTTCCCTTTTTTTAATGGAATAATACCGCAATTTTGTAAACATTTAGCAACGTTCTTTTTCAAAGAAGAAAATGCCAAATTTTAAGCAATGTTTGCAAAATAAATAAAATAAAAAGAAACCGAGGATATATAAAAATGAGATGTTTTATAAACAAAGTTATTGTGTTCGAACATTTGTAGGTCAATATTTTTTCCACTTTATTGAATGTATAGTGCGGAAGGATCGAAAAAAAAATTTTTTTAGAATTTCAAAACACATTTATGAGAAAAAGATGTCTTGTTTTTAGATGAGGAAAATAAAATGAAAAAACTTAATTCTTATGATTTCATGCCCTCAAAGAGAACGAAGTTTAGGTATTTCAGCTTTTTTACGGTAAAAAATCAAAGTATTTTTATTATAAAGAAATACAGGTATTTTACTGTTTTTTAACATTCGTTGCAACGAAAGGGCACCACTAAATAGTTACAAGAAAAAATATCAGGTACATTTCAGAGCTTTTTTAATATTTTTTTTTTTTAAAAAAAAACCTACTGTCGCGAAATGACAGATCCCGATAAAGAGGAAGATCGAAAAGAACTTGGATCTTGTTGGGCGGCCAAAAGAGTCAGACTAAGGAATTTTGTAGGTTCTTTCACTTCAAATAAACAATTTCATCAGAAATCCAGGTACAATAAAGTCGCTACTTCTTTAATGGCTAAAGAATTTTATTCCAGAGACAGCCACACACAACACAAAAAGAAAACTAACTATGATACATTTAATTTTAAGTTGTTAACACCATTTTGTTACTATCTTTCTCAACGTAATCACTATATCGCTCATTCTAGCATGTTCTCTCGCTCCGCCATCTTGTCCCTCTCCTTTCTATCTTTTTTCCTAGTTGTTGACGTTCGCCATCGTGTTCACTCTCCTCCTCCTTCTTTCCCTCTTTTCTCTCTCCTCGATGGCCGCGCCACCTATAAAGATTTTTAAACTTC